AATCACTGTGTTCTACTCTTGAAATTAATATTACACTGTATGTTAACTAACTAGAACTTAAATTTTAAAAAGTGTTTTAAGGGAAATATAAACATCTCAATTTTTTAAAAAATAAACTTCTTAATTAAAAAAAAAAAAAGCTCTATCGCACATAGAGTAGTTAGCATGGTGCCTGGCACATAATAAGCTCTCAGATGTTAGCTATTATTATTTTACCAGTTTTGCATGCAATTCATAAAACATTTTTCCCAAATCAGCAGCAATTTCTCAGAAATATTTGGTAAGTAATTCCCTTTGGGGGCTGTGAAAATAGAGAAAATATAAAGGAGAGACTCTCAATAAGCTGCTTATAAATAGTCAGGCATTGTCTTTGCTCTAGCAAAACAGCACAGACGGGGTGGTTTATAAACAACAGAAATTTATTGCTCACAGTGCTGGAGGCTGGCAAGTCCAAGATCAGGGTGGCAGCATGGTGGCCTTCTGGTGAGGATCCCCTTCCTGTTAGAACAGGTGCCTTCTTGCTGTGTCCTCACACAGTAAAAGGGGGTAAGGATCTCTCTGGAGCCTCTCTTATAAGGCACTAATCCCATTCCTGAGGACTTTATTCTCATGTCCAAAGCACCTCCCAAAGGTCCACTTCCTAATACAATTTTGGGGGGGATAGGACTTCCCCTATGAATTGGGGAAGACCAACATTCAGACTATAGCAAGCAAAGTATGCAAACATAAAAAGAAAATGCATTTAGAGATACAGAAGCATGCCTGATCTCTCTCTCTCTCACGCGCACGCACACACACACACACACACACACACACACACCTTTTCCAGGTGTCCCTTGGGTTAGAATTCTGCAAACAGTATCTCACAGTAAGCACTCTTGACTCTGCTCCTCTAAGGATGCTCCCTGAGCCAATATGGAGGAAAGCGTTCTAATCACCGTTTCCCTCGACGAGCCTGTGGTTGCTGGGGATAAGGATAGCCTGTAATAAAATGTTTTGCAAAAACTGATAAAATAACTATTATTGTGGACAATGGAGTACAAGAAATAGTGCCCTTGTTCATTTATTCATGTTCTTGAATTTACACCTCCCTGGTTTTGTTACACACTGAATTCTTCCTTTACAAAGTGGAAGTGGGCATATATATATATATAAAATCAATTTGTCCCACTTCACAGACCTGGTTTATAAAATAGGTTCATTTTCCTGACACTTGCTGCTGAAAGGTTATTCTTCCCTGCCCTCGGATCACCTTTTCTGTGATTCTAGCTTATTGGGAGAATTAAATAATTACAGGGAAAGTGTTTAGACTAGTGTCTACCTCGATTCTAAGAGAGTAGCAAGCACTCGAGAATTAGTGTTTAGTATTATTCTTGCCATCAATATCATTCCTAGTATTTCCAGGAGACTGAATTTGGTGAGTCAGCTCGAGAAGAAGGATGCCACAGGCATAGTAGTTATTCACAAATATTCCAATTCCCTTACCTTCCTGGCACCAGGTAGAATTGTGCTCACTTGACCATTTGTGGTTGGGTGGGACCACGTGACTAGTTCTGGCCAATGGGTTGTGACCGGAAACAATGGCCAGCTTTTCCCTGCTGGAATGTTTCTTGAAACACTGCAGATGCAGAACCCACCAGAGCTCTGTTTTCCCTATGCCAAGACGAGCAATTTGTCACATAATGGCTGTTCCTTCTATCTCAGTCCCCAACTGAGAACAATGACAGGACGGAGCAAAGTCCATTCCAACCTGCAATGGATACACAGTACGAGCAAAAAAATACTTCTTTATTCTTTCAAGTCAGTATTCCCTTCGTGATAAGACGGCTCAGCCTTGAACACATGCTTCATCCTCAATTTTACCATCAAGGCCCTACCATCAACCACACTACCACTCCATCACTGTGACATTTTGCTATCCTTTTGTATGTTCTAGTATCAGTCAGCCCTCTCTCAGGCATCAGAAATTTGCAAACAATGTTGAACATCGAAGGGGAAAGAAAATGGGAGTTTCCAGCCCTTGAAAAACTTGGTTCTTTATGCAAATGTGCTCAAGCCTGCTCAGTAATCTGTAAGCTGTCTATACCAGGGGAATGTATAGCTTTGTCATACCCCAAATTTGTCTCCCTTTTCCCACACAAGGCACCTGGCCCTTTCTCCTGTCCCTTCAAAGCACGGGGCAGAAATCCCTATTGATCACTTCTCAGGACTTTTGCAATGTTCTGTCTTCAGGCCTGTTCCCAAGAGGAATGTAAGTTTTTTTGATATCTGAGATTTAACACCCCACCATTCCCTACCCCAACTACTTAGCACAATGCCTGACTGATGTGGGGCCTGACCTCTGAAGACCTATGTCAGGTATCACATTCTACCTGAAGCCCTTTCTTGACTTCCTCCTATCTACCACACACTGCCAGCTATGGTAGAGAGAGCCATTCACTCTCTATCTGCCTTTTTCAAATTTATTTTTAAACATTTTTTTTAATGTTTATTTGTCAGAGAGAGCACAAGCAGGGATAGCAGCAGGCAGAGGGAGAAGCAGGCTCCCTGCTGAGCAAGGAGCCCAGTGTGAGACTTGATCCCAGGACTCTGGGATCATGACCTGAGTCAAAGGCAGATGCTTAACCAACTGAGCCACCCAGGCATCCCCCATTCACTCTTATGTTCTACCAATCCCGATAAACTTTTGTACTTGCTTACTACCCTTATTTGTTGACAAGCTTCTCTTCTCCTTATAGACCATCTCCCCTAATGGGCTGAGATTTCCTGGAAAGCAAGCCTTCCACTGATTTTTGTTTATTTTCTTCACAGTCCCAACAACGAATGCATCCCTGGTCTATACCTGCAGACTCTTTAATGCATGTATGTTCAATTATCAGATGAATATACAACTTATATTTCCATATAAATTCACACATCTCATTCATAACTCAAAGTCTATGTATGATTTGGGCTTTAGGAAAAAAGAATGAGCAAAAAGGACTTTCATAAGAAAGAAACAGAAAGAGGAAAAAAAAAACAGATAAATATATGGGTGTCCATCAAAATCAACATCTGTCACTAGCAACTGTTAAAACTTCCTTAAAATGCTGTGTGTCTAAAAGTCTCAGACGGACACTCTTAGGTTTCTAGTTTTGGCCTCTCCAGACCACGGAGCAAAGGCAATGGCACGCCATTCCCGTAGAGCTGCGCTTGTGAGACCCCAGAGTAGGTGCCTCCTCAGATTGTGCAACTGAGCCTTCATTTGCCTCACACTAGTCCAGGTTCTGCCCTTGGGAGTACACCTTGATCTTGGGTTGACCGTTGCTGAGATTTTGAACACCCAGTGTGCTGGAGGAGGTCCTTCCCCTTATTGTGCAAACCTGCCAGTGAAAGGAATGCTCTGGGTGTGATGTGCTGACATAATGTGCAGTGGACACGGTGAGGACATTTGGAATCGCTCTTGACTCCTCCCTCTCTTCCCCACATAACCAGTCAAGTGGTTGGTGGTGGTGGTGACCAACCTTTCATCCCGCTTTCCTGGGAAAGGGTGACAGGAGGGGGACCAGCACAGGACGGGAGGAACCTGGCAGCTGCCACAGGGTGACTGTGATTGGCTGACTGGTGTGTGAGCACACACGGAAGACCCTTGAGTACTCTTTTGTATAACTGGATGAGCTTCGGAAACCATGAGCAGGTGGGAGCAAGAGTCAGTACAGTTTAAATAATTAATCTGCCTCTCTGTGCACAAGGAATATAAACCTGGGGTACATGGTTCCTTATGTTTCCATCATCATCTCTCACTCCCCTTCAACACAAACACCCTGTGCCAGTAAGTCTTACCTCTGATCTTGAGAATACTAGATTCTTTCTGACTTCCACTACTTTGCTCAGATATTGTCTGACCCTCTATACAGCCCTTCCCTTCTCCACTGTTTATCTTACCTAATCTGATTGTTCTGTCAAGGCCCTCTTCTATCTGCTCTCTTGTTCCACCAGTCTCCTATGTGGTCTCCCTCTGCTGGGAGTACCTGCCACACTGTGTTATCGTCCACTTAGACACTTAATTACATGCTGTCTCATATCATTATCTTAACATTTTCCAAGCATCTATCTTATCTGCCTGACTTGACCATATTCCCTCTGAGCCCAGGGTCTTGGTTGTGAATGTCTTCTGTTTTTCTCCAAGAGCCCATGTGTGTCCATATATATACAGTAGGAGTCTAATACTTACTGGAGGGGTAGATAAAGAAATAGCACATAAGTGTGGTTCTTGTATACTTCCTTTATATGATCTGCCAAAATGACATCATTTGATCACTCACCCTAACTCAAGTTGTTTCCCTAGTCGTGGAGATGATTTCCCCTAATTCATTGCTGCTTTTTTGTCCCTCATCAGGAAGGGGTACAGGGAAAATGCACATGCACTGGTTGCATAATGTGAGGCCAAGAACTATCACCCCATCCATACCTGGAAAGGGGGGAAATACAGTTGACCCTTGAATGACACAGTTTGGGCTGTGTAGGTTCACATATACTTGAATTTGGGGTTCTGATAAATTCAGTACAGTACTGTAAATGTATTCTTCCTTATGACTTTCTTAACATTTTCTTTTCTCTAGCTTACTTTATTGTAAGAATACAGTATATAATACATATAACATGCAACATGTGTGTTAATCAACTGTATTATCGGTAAGGCTTCTGGTCAACAGTATTATTAGGCTACTAATAGTATTATTAACAGTATTACTAGGCTATTAATAGTTAAGAGTGAGGTTGTCAAAAGTCATACATCAATCTTGGACTGTGTGGGAAGGCAGTGTCCCCGCCCCTGTGTTGCTCACTGGTCAACTATAATAGTGATAGCAATGATAGTAGAAGTGATGTGAGGGTCATCATCATTGCTTCCTCAACATCCAAACCCAGTTTGTTTGTTTTTTCTAGTTCTCCCTGATTTACCAGGTACTTGATCCAACGTAGGCCAATGAATTATGAATTATGAGATGTTTGCTCTTGCTTCTAGGAAAGAAGCATTTTCATCAGGTGACATGTTCCCACAGCTTCAGATGAAGCTGCCACCATGAAAGGTATGGCAGCTGAATCAAACTATTCCTGAAGTCCACCCTATCCTGGACTTCAATTAAAGGAACTTTCTGCTCAAGCCACTTAGTTAGATTTTCTGTTAGTTGCAGTCAAATATATTACAACTGATACATAATAGTAACTACAGTGACAATAATAGCTGCTATACAAACTCAGAGAGTAATTGGGAGAGCAAAGGTTAATTACCAATGCAATATTGTTGTGTAGGCTTTATTGTGCAAATGTTTGTTGCTGAGAATCCCTTAGTTAAGATGTCTTCCCTTAAGAGCTGAACTTGGAGAGTACCTCCAAGAACTTGGAGAGGACCTATTGGGTTGTTCATCTTGGAAGTTAAAAAAAAAATCTCTTATCAGAGTTGATCAGAAAGCCTGAAACATTAAGATACAAGCTGAACAGAATAGGAAATGCTGCAGATACTATACATGACAAACTTTCTAGAAGGAAATGATTTACATCAAACCTGATACCCAGCCCAGAGTCGGTGCTAAATAACTCTTCGTTTTTAAAATATGTATTTAAAAATAAATTAGGCACACAGAATACAAAATGTAAAGGTTACAAAGTGTGTATGTGTAGTCTCTTTCCTCCCCACTGGCTCCTCAGTCATCCAACATACCTTCCTTTACCAGTTTCTTACACATATTTCCAGAGCTATTCTATACATTTACAAACATATATGTGTATTTATTCACACAAATGTCAGAATCCCATACACGCTGTTCTGCTCCATGTAAATTTTCTTGGATCACAGAATGGATCTTGGAGATCTCTCCGTACCAATGTCTACTGAGCTGTCCATTTCTTTTTAACAGCTGCAGAGAATTCCAAATATGCCCAATCATAATTTACGTTCCCACGAATTTGACCAGTTTATTGTTGGACAGACTGTTTCCCATCGCGTGTGTTATCAAAGTGATGTAATGATTATCCTTCTGGAGCGACATTTCACAGAAGTGGGAGCCCATCTGTAGGACAAATTCCCAGTCGTGGAATTGCTGATTTAAAGGGCATATGTGCAGGAACTGTTTTCATTTGTGCGTTCAGTAATACTAAAGTCCATGAATTTGTGGGAAGCCCCCCGGGGCGCCGAAGCAGCTCTCCAAAGCAGCGGGTGCAAGGGCGAGGATTGCGGGATTGGCACGCGGGACCCCTGAGCTCTGCGGCCCTGCGGGCGGGTCCCGCAGCCCCAGCCCGCCTCCCCACGCGGCCCCGCCCTGCGCGCGCCCCGCCCCGGGCCCCGGGCGGGAGCACCCGGCACGTGCGATTCCACGTGAGCCTCCCGGTCGCCGTGCAGCCCGGAGGTACGCAGGCGCCTGCCGCCAGGGAAAGTAGGTCAGACTCCTCCTCTCACGTGACCTGCTCCCCTTAGCTATCCCCGGCGCCCCCCCGCCGGGGTGCAGCCGGGATGCGCTCTGCAGCCAACGTGACGGGGCCTGGCGCGGGTGGGGGCGGGGGCCGGGCGCGGGTGGGGGCGGGCCCCGGCCCGCGAGCGCCGGGAGCCCGCGAGGATTCGCCGGTTCTCCTCCCTCCGGAGCGCTCCGCTCAGAAGTCGGGCGGGCAAAAGGGAGCGCGGCGCGGAGCATCCAGGGAGCCGGGCTGGAAAAGAATGGGAGAGGAGAAGCGACCTGAAATCCCTGACACGGGGACTGGGCTGAGCCCCCTTTCCTGCTCTTTGAAGCAGTGCTGCCTGCGAGGAGGGAACGCGCTTCGCGTTTCAGTGTAAACCGAATCACCCGACCGTTTGCAGCCCCCATTTGTATATAAGGTAACTCAGACGTTCGTGGAAACGAACTTTGTGGAACGAAATGTGAAAGAATGGTAGCGGTTCCTGGAGTTTTGAAGGAATATTCCACAGGCCCCATTTCCAAACTCCTACGCATTCCCCGCCCCCCCCCCCCCCCCCAAAGACACTCCCTGTAGAGGGATTTTAAGCGGATTTCTCACCTTCCGCAAGAGACTGAGGAGGTGAATGTGGCGCTGATGGGGCTGGGTGTTTATGGGCAGGGGTGGGGTCGGTAGGAAGGCTGACTGAAATCAGCTGAAGCCTGAGTTTTTAGTGTTAGGAATAATATTATCTCTTGCCCCCGCCCCTTCTGGTTTTTAACTTGTTGCGCCAAGGACAGAATCTAACTCAATGAGTTTCAATCAACTGAGGAGACTGACAAGCCAAATCAATGGGATGGGCTAGAAATGCCCTCACAGAGGTGTGCCCAGGTGTTACATAAGCACAGAGGAGGAGGGGCCCCAATATGGGGTGGGCACCCTGAGTCTTGAAGGCTAAGTGGGAGTTAGCTGGCAGAAAAGTAAGGCAGAGGGGGTGGAAAAGGGTTCCAAACAAAAGAAGCTACTAATAGTTACATAATATTTCCCTCAAGGAGCCTTTTACTATAATTGTCTTAGCCATGCCTATGGTTAGAATGTGTACTCTTTCCATTTACGTTATTCTAAGCCGGTCTTTAATGAACGTAGTTGCACATAATGCTTTTACCCGTGCACTTTTAAATAAGTCCTCCAGGAGTGGGATGACTATATAAAAGATACAAATATTTGGTGACTTTTGATAAAGCATCATCAAATTATGTTCCCAAAAAGTTTCACTAAGTTGTGCCAAGGTAGCACTGAACTGTTTAGCATTTGGGCAGAAAGTCGCCCATTATTTATTTCAAATCAGTGAAGCCTGATGAGATTAACACCTGATTTAGTCGAATGCCATAAATCATAATACATGCATTTCTGGGATTTGTGACCCATGATAAAATTCAAATTGGATTCAAGTTTGAAAAATGGAGACTATCAGACCTGTGCATTTATCCTTTACAGTGAACCACACAGCAGGTGCAAGGTTGGGTTTGGAAGGAGGAAAGGAGTGAGACAAACTATAGCAGCACCAAATGCCTGTCTCTGATTGCTCCTTTTTTTTAAGATTTTATTTATTTATTTGACAGGGAGAGAGAGCATGAGCAGGGGGAGAGGCAGAGGGAGAAGCAGGCTCCCCGCAAAGCAGGGGAAGCCGGCTATGGGACTCGATCCCAGGACTCCGGGATCATGACCCAAGCCGAAGGGCAGTGGCTTAACCAACTGAGCCACCCAGGTGTCCCTGATTGCTCATCTCTTACTGTAAATCAAGAGTAACAGGAAAAAAAAAAAAAGGGGAGTAACAGAGACAGTAGCTCCACACAAGTCAGAACAAGCCAAGAGGCTTCCACACACATGTCACAAGAGCAGCAGATTCAAAGAGGCCCAGATTTGACCCAAGAGGCCACTATAACTTGCAGGAGGAAGGCTGGTGACATGTCTGGGAACAAATCTCCAGAATCCTACATGCTTCTGCACTTGGTCTCCGTTGGCATCTGTGCCTACAAGGAGAAAACAATCCTCTGACATTCAGAGGAACATAGAGGAAAAGGATAATTTGGGTCATATGGACAATGAAAGCAGAGAGGATCTTGCTTTTTGCCTGTATTAAGCTGAGTCATGACGGATAACTGAAGCATGGTGCATTTATAATTTTCCAGAGACATGGCTTCGTTCATGCTGCGGGGTTTCCTTAATATCCATTCTGCATGTTGTGAAATGATTGAATACTTTAGGGGCAGCGGGCTTACCTCTCCTCAGCTCCAGGAGTCAGTCTCGACTGAATTAACTAATTGGGGTAGTACCATTGCTCTTTTTATGAGGATTACTGGCGTTAATTCAGCAGAAGCAAATTCAGTTAGAAGAGTGTCTGGCACGTATTTAGGGCTCAATGAACATTAGTTGTTGACACTAGTGTAACAATGACTGGTTCCATCAGAGAAGGCCTGGACTTGTTTCAGGGCTTATGGGATGCCATTCTTTCTTCTTGGATGGCGGTGAAGAAGTGTGTGTACTTACTGATGTCATCCTTCCAGCTTCAGGGGAGTCAGCTTAACCACAGGCCTGATAAACAAGGAGAGGCAGAAGAGGCCACACCCTGACCCTGCTGTTCTTGCAGTCTAAGCTATCTCTGGACATTTTGGTTGTTTGAGACAAATACATCCCATCTGTCACTTCAGTTACTGGAGGTGGGTTTTCCCTTTTTTTCCCTGCAGAAGCACCCTAACTGATCCAAGCCTGGGTCCTCATTTTAACTCAGGGGTCAAAATGATGACACTGGCATTCCATTCTGAGCATGAACTTGTTAAAGATTGAGATTAAAACTTATCTCCATGGCAGATGAATACAGTAATTCAGTGAATTCATTTCCTAGGGCTGCCATAACAAAATACCACTGGGTATCTGAAACAAAACAAATTTGTTTGCTCCCAGTTTGGGAGGCTAGAACTCTGAGATCAAGGTGTTGGCAAGGTTGGTTTCCTCTGAGACCTTTCTCCTTGACTTGTCATCTTCTCCTGCTTTCACATGGGCTTCCCTTTGTATGCATCTGTGTCCTAATTTCCTTTTCTTATAGGGACGCCATTCATACTGGATTAGGACTCACCCTAACAACCTTATTTTAACTAAGTGGCCTCTTTAAAGACCCTCTTTTCTTTTTTTTTCTTTTTTTTTAAGATTTTATTTGTTTATTTTTTAAAAAAAGATTTTATTTGTTTATTTGACAGAGAGAGATCACAAGTAGGCAGAGAGGCAGGCAGAGAGAGAGAGGGAAGCAGGCTCCCTGTTGAGCAGAGAGCCCGATGCGGGACTCAATCCCAGGACCCTGAGATCATGACCTGAGCCGAAGGCAGAGGCTTAACCCACTGAGCCACCCAGGCGCCCATAAAGACCCTTTTTTCAAATAGAGTCACATTCTGAGGTCCTAGGGGCTAGGACATCATGATATGAATGAGGTGAGGGGCACAATGGGTCCATAGACATTAATGATATAATAAGGATTCCTTAAAATAAGATCCTCTCCCTTGTTCTAGTTCCCATCTTTAAGGTTTTTGTTTGGGGTGTGTGTGTGTGTGTGTGTGTGTGTGTGTGTGTGTGTTGGGGGAGGGGGAGGTGCCGGGGAAAAGAGAGAGACTGAGTTTGGAAGAGCAAGTATAGATCCAGAAAACAGCACGCAATGAAGTTGTGGCTAGGTCTGTCCTCAGAGAGCAATTCACATTGATGACAGGAAAGTGAATGTAGAGGTGGCTTTGGTTATTTTACTCTTTGGGGAGATGGGTGGCTTTTCTAAGGAACGTGTTTCAGGCTGACTTTTCTTTTCTCCCTTAACACTTCTTGGTTAGACTGCTGGTGCTTTATCGAAGAGTAGAATCTCTCCTTTCTAGACATGGTTGAGCAGCTGTTTGTGTTCTTTCTAACGTCAGTCGAGCAAGTTTCCAAAAAAGAATGGGACAGCTTGGTTTGCATTCCTAGGTAGGTCCCTGAGATGCATGGTTTGTGCTGTGTGGCATGAAATAAGTCACTTCCCCACTCAGGGCTGTTTCTTCACATGTCAAATGAAGCTGTTGGATTCCATGATCTCTAAGTCATTTCTGTCTACTCATCATATGACCGGATGAAAAAAAAAAAAGGGCTTTGGTTTCTTCACTGGGCTTTGCTAGTAAAAAGTGTATTTATTGTATTCAAAAACTCTTCCCCAGCGCACACATGGTTATGTGTATCAGGTATTCACAGCAGACAATGAAGCCTCAGCTCTCTGAGAATGGGATGATTTGTATCTGCCATCTTTGTATATCTCCTCATGTTTATTTCGTTGTACAATTCCTTGATTGATTGATTGATTGATTTTACACGGGGTGGGGAGGGTGGGGAAGGAGAAGGGAAGAATTTTTGGTAGTGGAAGCCACTATTATTGCATCATTGCTACTCGGAGTGCTGGCCCAGGGAAGGCACTGCTCCAGCCCAGAGGTTCTTAACCTGTTATACACATCAAAATCACCTGTTTAAAAATACACACGCCTGTGACTCCACTTCTCAGAAATTTGAATCAGTGAGTCTGGAGGACCTCAATGTGTGGAAAGTTCTGCAGGTATAATGTCTTATACCAGCAGCTCTAAGCTGCGGGTTTGGACCAAACACTTAACTTCCTTCCCATAGCCAATGATACCAAAACACCTTATACAGCTCCCATAATGAAAATGTATCTGCAATCAGGAAGGGCACCTCTTTTTTTGTTTTTTTGTTTTTTTCCAAAATTACATATTGGAAGTTTTAGTTGGTTGTGGGGGAAAAAAAAAAAAGTCTAAGTAATTCATAAAATTTTACCGATTTTGCCATTCTGATTGCAGTTATTCCACTAGGTAGAATGTTTTGCTACGGAGCTGATTCCTCTAAATGACAGAAAAGCTTTGTATTGGTGTTGGCAGTAGATTGAGAGCAGTATTGGGTATCTGTGTTCTTTGTTAAAACACTGAGGTACATTCTGGAATTAGAGCACTAACATCACAGGGGGTTTGATTCCATTAACACCCTTGGAGGATTTATTCAAAGAAGTTACATGTGTTGGCTGAACTGTAAGTTAAACAGGTTCTAGGCTTCCACTCCTTCCTCTTTGCATCTCTGCCGCTGCATATGGAATTCGTGCTCACTGGACACCAGGAAAGAACATTCAAGGAGAGTAAAAGAGGAAACATTACTCACAACATAGAAAAACGAAGAATTTCCTGCTTCCTCCAGAAGTCCAGCTCTTGGAGGAGTGGAACAAGCAGATACTGTGGAGTCAAGCAGAAGTGGGTCAACCCCCAGCAACTCTTACCATGACTGGTCGCCCCGTGGAACTGCTGTTACCCCTTCTGAGCTTCAGGACTCTGACCGGGAGAGGGTAGGAGTCACCCTCATGGGGCTCGTTGCTCTGAGGTTTGGCGTAGAGATGGTATGTGTGATATAATAGGCAATAACAGGCATCCTCAAGTAGTTCCTGGCATCATCGTTATTCTCTCCTTGGGAACAAAAATAGGTACAAGAAGCAAGAATTTGGTTTTTCTTCATTGTTTCCTCTTAATGAGAGAATTCAGAAGGAGTTAGACTAAATTTAGAAAGCTCTTAATTTGCCCATTGGTAAATAACAATATGCCGACTTGGAAGTGGCCACTTCTCTAGAGGTGAAGCACAAAATGTGTTCAAATACTAAGGCAAATGCGATCATCTCAAGGGGAAAAAAGAAAGAAGCCGTTAAACTTCCTTTGAACTGCCCATTAGCTGTGACTTAATAGCTTTCCTTGAGAAACGGTGAAAACTTCTACTCCCTGGAGTTGACCTGCTGCTACAATTTGGCACCATCTTTTCCAGTACGAGGGACCTGGATTCCAACAGGATACTAGGACTTACAAGACCTCAATTCTTACAGAATCTAAGATGGGTAAACTACAGAGCAGGTGGCTGTAAACTGTCCGTTAGTTGTTGTGAAGGAAGGCAAAAGAAAATTGAGCCTTAAAATATATATATTAGAAATATATATATATAATAGAAATATATATATAATAGAAATATATAAAATATATATATATATTTATATTTATATATATATATATGGCATCTGGTAGTTCAGTCAGTTAAGCATCTGCCTTCAACTCAGGTCATGATCCTGCAGTTCTGGGATTGAGCCCTGTGTGGGGCTCCCTGCTTGGCAGGCAGTCTGGTTCTCCCTGTCTCCCCCTACTTGTGCTCATGCTCTCACTCTCTTTCTCAGATAAATAAATAACGTGTTTTAAAAAATTAAAAATTAAAAAAAATTAACCTCTTAAAATCCTGAACTTGCTTGGGGCAGAGTCTTGTATCAACCTTGAATGTTTAGGAAAGTGGAAGCAGAAAGGAAGGAAGGGTTGTGAGGTTAATGTCAGACATTCAAAATCAAGGCGAAGTGTAATTACCTTGAAGTATAACTATCATAAATCTTTTTTGTACCGAAAAACATAATAGAAAAATGTAGAACATAATATGGTTGAAATAATATATATAAATATCAGTGATTTACCCTGTAAGTAGAAAATACATGCATGCTCTTTTTTAAAGTGTTGATACATTTATATTTTTTATTTAAATTCAATTAATTAACATAGAGTGTATTATTCGTTTCAGGGATAGAGTTCAGTGGTTCACTAGTTGCATAGACCACCCAGTGCTCATTAAATCAAGTACCCGCCATAATGCCCATCTCCCAGTTACTCCACCAACCTCTGCTCCAGCAAACATTTATAAAAATAACTACATATCCCTGACCTTACACCCAAAGGAACTAGAAAAAGAAGAACAATCAAAACCCAAAACCAGTAGAAGGAAGGAAATAATAAAAATGAGAGCAGAAATAAACAAAATAGAAACTAAAAAAAAAAAAAAGTAACTATACATTGGAATGGATTCAAAGAAACACTTGTTAAATGATCAGATACAGATGAAGTGTTAGCAGTAGTTATCTCTGAAGGGAGGGGTCAGAGTGAACTTTACTCTTTTGTGTGTTCTTTTATATTGTTTGAAGACTTTCTAACCAGCATGTGTCATTTTTATTTATAAAAACAAGTAAGATTATTTTCATTTTAAAAGAATGCCTAACAATTACTGGATAGCTAGTGTACTGCAGGGCTAGGTATTAAGCATGTGTCCTGACACATCATTTCATTTCATCCTCAGTTTCTTCCTTCCCCACAAACATCTTTCTCTACTTTTATAATCACAGAAGCTTTAGGGCTACATGTAACCCCCAGCTAGAGACTATTTCCCCAGCCTCCCTTGCTGGCAGGTGGCCAACTAACTGGATGCTCATAGAAGAGATGAGTATACCCCCTGCTCATCTTTCCTCTTTTAACCTTTCTTGCTACTAGAATATAGGCTGAGTGGACATGATGGTGAGCCAAACTCAACCAAGCCAAAGAGGGCCACCATCTAGAGAATGGGGAGTAACAAGAGAGAGGACCTGGTTCCTGATATTACAGAGTCCCAAATCAACCTTGGACTGTTTGCAATTAGACTGTTTCAGGTGGGGTTGGGAGCAGTGGAATAAGCAACTATCTTATTTAAACCACTATTAATTTATATCTGTTAAAGCTGCCACATCAATATTCTGTTACTATTTTATATTGTGTAGCTTCTATATGCAATTGTAACATGTCTTATGACCATTATTATTTAAAAATTC